CTGGGGGGGGAGAGAGAAAGAGAGAGGGGTTATAGTTAAATCCTATAAAGAGGTACTTAAAATGATAAAAATAATAAAGATTAGAATAGCCCTATAGACAATGACAGCACATGTGAGAAAAATATGCCTACAAAATGATAAAATCCATAGTTTAATATTTCCAGAGTAAATAAAATGTCGTCATAACAAATCTGAATTGTAAAAGCTAGAAAAATGAATTAGATATGAAAGAAAAATCATTTCAGAAATTATTAAAACTAAGAAAATAATGAGTGAATAAAATGAAACTCATCTTAGGGGAATTAGAATGTAAAAAGAAAATTCTGAAATAGAAAGAGAGATAAACAGAGAAAAGAAGATTTGAGGCAAAGTAACAGAAAAGACATGGAGTTTCTCACAAACGACTAGGAGGCAAGGACAGGGACTGCTGGCAATGATCATCAACAGCTGCTATCATTACAAAACAAAAGGAAAACAGATAATTATGTGCCTCCACATGGAAAACTACACTCCCACTTACAAAGCAGTTTTGCCAAAAAAAAAAAAAAAAGCAAAAAAACAAAACTCAAACTTAAATTTAAACAGCCCTCTAGATCCAACTACTAATTATAAAAAATAGAGAACACATTAAATATGTCAGGGTTGCATCAACAGGATGCAGATTGGGAAACTACAAGACCAAAGATGCAGCTTCTTCAACAAATTATAAAGTGGGGAAAAAAGAGAAGAAAAGTAAAGAAAAAAAAACTGTATTAAGAATCTTAAGAGATATTTTGAGCAATTGTATGGTGGAGTCTCTTCTTTTCTTTTTTCTTTTCTTTTTGGAAACAGGGTCTTGCTATGTGATTCAGGCTTGCCTTGAACTCAGTGACCCACCTGCCTCTGCTTCTCATGTGCTGGTATTTTAGGTATGTGAAACCATACTTGGGCCTGTGGAATCTTTATTCACTTTGTGAAGTATATAAAAGAAAGTATACCCAAAAAATGTGTTTATATTTATGAGGTAAATAGAAACTCAAACATTGTTAGAAACTTGATGATACCAAATAATTATTAACTTGGTTTTTAACATTATTTTAGATGTGATAATATTTTTAAAATTATCCTATTTTGAAATATTTACAGATAAAGTAGTTTGACATCTGGAACTTGCTTCTCAAGAACATGGGAAGAACCAAGTTGGGTAGGGATAAGATTTCCATAGGTTGTTAAATGATGAAGTTGGATAACATACATTGATAATGTTTATTTACTTTGTATACATTTAAAAATTTCAAGGGGCCGGGGAAATGGCTGAGCAGATTAAGCGCTTGCCTGGCAAGCACAAGGGCCTGAGTTCAATCCTTGGTTCCACAAAAAAAAAAAAAAAAAAAAAAAATTCATGAATAAAAAGTTAAAAACAACTAAGTTTGGTTCACAATTAGCATTTAATAAATAGCAGTTATAATAATTAGTAGACTGTATAAATATTTGCTAAATGATGAATTCATATGCGAAACACTATTATAGAGAAAATATGAAATCTTAGAACCTTTGTGTCATCAATACCACTTATAAGAATCAAGCTCACTCACCCAGGGCCTGGGAGAATGAATGAACCAATACTCTCTCTTGGTAAGTCAAGGAAACAGGTTTGGACAGCTGAAATAAAAACTGAGAACTAATGGCCAGCCAAATAGCTCAGCGGATTAAAGCATCTGCAAGCAGGTGCAAGCACTAGGGGTTTGATCCCCGGCCCCACAGGGCCCCACTAAGCCAGTAATTAAGACTGGGTGTGGAGGCACGTGCCTGTAATCCCAGCTCTTGGGAGGCTGTAAACAGGTGGATCACTATGAGTCCGATCTAGTAGTGAGACCCTGAACACCATGTAGACCGTTCCCTAAAATACAAAAAAAAGTGAGAACTAATAAATCAGTAAAATTATGGGGTTAGATATAGCAAAATTAAGTAGAAAATAGTGCCAGGAAAATAAAACCAAACATAATATGTACCTTAAACTTGAAAAAATGTTGAGGCAGGGAGACAGCTCAGCAGCTTAAGTGCCTGACTGGCAAGCACAAGGTCCCGAGTTCAATCTCTGGTACCAAAAAAATGTTAGCAAACATGGTATCCAGCCTTCAATGGCTATAAGCCCATATGATGAAGGTTACCACATACAAGTAGAAATATATTTAGCAAATGCAAGGTAAATGAAAAAAAGATTGTATTTTAAATTTAAAAAGCTAAATAAATTGAATATAGTACTCTCAATTTTCTCTAAAGAAGGAAAGAAGCTAAATAGAATAACCTCACAGTAATATTTTGAAACTTGATCTAGAAGTGGGTAAAGATAAAAGAACTAAAAGTTAATGAACTTCAACTTCCCAAATAAATGCTCTTATCATATCTAAAAATCTTATTGGAAACAGACTAAAAGAGAATCCAGCTGTTTAGGAAACTTGTGAACACAGGGGAAATCAACAGACTCAGAGAGCTACAGCTTTTAAATCATGGCACAGCTTGAAAGTGTAACTTTCTCCTTCAGAAATATGTGACATCTGTTAGGAAACACTAACAAACTGCCTTTTCAGGCTATCTCATGTTTATGTGCATTTCCACTGCCCTTCCTACAAATTTATGTTTATCCCAACCACATAATTCTGAATTTTGGGTTGCTCAGGTTTTACACTGTTCCTCACAACTCCCTGAGCATCTGTTTAGGTTAGCTTTGTTGCTTTCTATAGTAGGTTGGAAGGAAAGTTGAGGCAAAGCCAGGATTTCAGGGCCATTGTAATAGGGAAATCAAGTGCAAATAGGAAGACTGCTGACCAATGTCACTGCCTAGAGTAGGTATACAAGTAAGGGATGCTGTATAAATACCTGACATGGAAACAAAGCAGAAAGGGAAGAAAAGAAGGAGACTGTGCACAGGAACCTGGTGAGGATTCTGATGGTAGATGTAAGGGGAAGTAGTAAATTATTAGAGTTCTAAGAAAAGGCAGTAACTTGGAGAAAAAAACAACCATTTAGTGATTCTCCTATTAATAGTTACATCGTCGCAAGCCTCTACTAGTTAGAGGAACTTGTTCACAAGGAACTCTGAGTCTCTAAATCAAGAGTAAAGCAAAAGTAACATTTCTAAGATTTAGTGATTAGGGAGAAAAAGAATTTATACCTCCATCTTAAACTTAAAGGCTAGAGCTAAAATCGTCCCTGGGAAGACAACAAAAAAAATCCTAAACTCTTTGTAAGTCAGAACTATGATACACTACTTTAGATTCACTACGATGGCTACTGTAAAATTAAAAAATAGGGAAATAAGTGTAGGCAAGAATGTAAAAAAATTGGAACCCCTGTGCACCATTGGTGGGAATATAAAATGGTACAGTTGCTGTGTTAAATAATATGGCAATTCCTCAAAAAATTAATGATAGAATTATTTATATAAGCCAGTAATGCTACTTCTTGGTATATGCCCCCAGGCATGCTGAGCCTGCAGCGCAGTCTGGATGTGGTGGCACATGCCTGTAATCCCAGCGCTGGGGAGGCTGAAAACAGGATAACTACAAGTCAGATCTGCAAACCTGTAATATATATATTACAGGTTTAGGTTTATTACTGCTTAAACAAATCACTCAAGCTCAAGATGCTGTGGTTCGAACCCAGATACTCACGGCAAACGAGTAATGCCTTAAAGGCATCTTCTGGCAGTTCAAATGCCTGCCTGAACTACATAGTTGGACCCTATTTCAAAAACACCAAAAAAAAAAAAAAAAAAGGCAAGTAGATTATATAAAGGATTCCTATAGCCAGGAGTGGTGGCGCATACCTATAATCCCAGTACACAGGAGCCTGAAGGAGGAGGATCACTTCAAGCTCAAGCCAGCCTGAACCACACAGTGACACCTTGTTTCAGGGTGGGGGTATGGGGGATGTGTGACATGACATAAACCAATGAAAAGAGAAAAGACTGCTCTGTGTGCAGCCTCTAAAATTTTAAATATTACCACATGAGAAATCTAAAATTTTTTAGTTTCTTTCTAGTTCTTTCCAGTCAATTTCCCACTTGCAAAGTCAACCGTTGCTATGATTTCATCACTATATTTTAATTTTGCTTGTTAATGAATTTTATACAAATGCAATCTTTTGGAACCACTTTTGAAGTATATCAACTTTTGTTTTTTCTTTATTTTTTCCAAGTGTTAGGGAATGAACTGGGGCCTTGCATATGCTAATCAAGTGTCCTACCCAAGCTATACCTATAACC